GAGAGCTCCTGCGCCTGCCCCTCCAGGAGAGCAGGGCAATCTTTATCTCTTGTTGCACCCAAGAGTTCGGTGGAGGAAATGCTTTTTTCTGCTTAGAACCGATCTGAGAATCAGCGATATGGCCCAGGCCACAGTTTTCATAAATATGTAAGATGAATGCCAGAGAAATTAAGAAATTCTTATTTTCGTGACAGACCCCGGAACTGCATCTTTCCACCCCTATGCCGTGCTGCGTATTGCTCCAGGGGTTTGGGGAGCAAATTGAGTGAGAATTCTGATGACTGTGATTTGGGGTCTGGTTATTTTTTGCTTTTGTTCTCAAATGGTCATAAGGAAAAACCCGAATGCAGCCAAATTAGCATGAGAAGAGACACAAATGCTATTTTGGAAACAAAGCCCCCCCGCCCCGCAATTGTGCTCCTTTCTCTACAGACTTTCTAGTGGCTTGAAGAATCATATCATTATCCAGCACCTGAAAGGGGTCACGGGGTGGGGTGAGGGGGCTAGCCTCCATTTTCTTATGCCACCAAATGTACTCCTATTACGATTGAAAGCAGCAGAGATTTCAGTAGGATTCTTGGTGAAAACTTGCCGACATTAATGACTTAAATTCTAAGAAAGACTGCAAGGAAAACGGTGTCATCACTGTCATTCAAGCCATTTAAGACAAGATTTCAAAAGAAGGCTGTCAGGCATAATGACTGCCACTTCCATTACATCGCCCTCGGAGGGTGGATCTCCCTCTACTATGCAGCCTGTGGGTGGTGGGTGCTCAAAGAAGGAGCAAGGTGGGTGCAGGTCCCCGGGGAAGGGGAGGCTGCCTCCCATGGCCAGGACACCTCACCCTGACCTTCACTGGTGATGGATATGTGGAAACCTGGCCATTGGGGCAGCTGGGGGAGAGCGCGCTCTCGGTGGTAAACAATTTAGGGACATTTGAGTGACAAAGGCTGTGCTGTTTTACTAAGTTACTGTGAGAATACTTACTACCTCCCTGGAGAGCAGGTGTTCTTGCCGTGTGCATCACGAACCCCTGCAGAACCCCTGTAAAGCCTCGTCAGTGAAGAAGGTGCTAGGTGTGTGTCAGGGTCGGGGGTCGGGGAGAGAAGCCATGGCTGTCGTCTTCAGCCACACATTGAATACCTGGGTGATTTGATCGAAGGCCACACTCTAAAATCAAGTTCATCTGAACCCTAGGATGAGGGTGCAGATGTCAGTGCTTCTAAAATATCCAGGGTTCCAAATCAATGCGAGTCAACTCCTGTATAGCTATCCTTATCTCAACCAGCAAAAACCCTTGTTCCTTCCTATTATTGCTTATACTCTCTCTACAACAAAATTAGAGATAAGGGCAAAATAGTTTCTGCCGGGTATCGAGGGGGGGGGGAGAGGGAGGGGGAGAGAGGGAGGGGGTGGGGAAAGGGGGAGAAATGACCCAAACATTGTATGCACATATGAATAAAATTAAAAAAAGATAAAAGAAAGGATTAGCCAAAGTGTGCAACACTGAGTTCTTAAATTTGATGCAGCCACTGCACTGCCTGCTATAAGCTGTTCAAAACCATGATCATAAAGGCAAAGAGCTCATGAAATGTAGTAAAAATGTTTGCAACACTAAAAAAAAATTAAAAATAAAATAAAATAAAATATCCAGGGGTCCAGCTAGCAGCCAACTGAGTGCCATTGGGTTGGAGCACAGGCCTGACTGTTAAGTCAGGGCATTAAAACCCAACTGCAGTGATTTCCTTAAAGAAAGGAGATCTTAACAAGCATTAGGGGGACATCATTTCAGGACAAAAGATTAGCTCACTCTGCTGTGTTTATTTTTCTCTTGTTTCCACTGAACAGTGATACCTTCACTGTAGACTGACGGGATCAACCCGCTGTCTACATCCAGAGTCAGGGTTTTGTTCTTTGGGCAGCTTTAGACGTACTTGCTGGGTTCTGGCTAATTAAGCACTGTCCTGTGCTAACCACCCTTGTCTGGTCACATCTTTTCCTTGCTAGTGCTGTGGGTTAAACTCGTGGGCAACTCTGCTCCCAGGCCGTGGAAATGTTCAGTGTTTCCAATTATAAGCTGATTTAACAATAAGCTTAACTCTCCTTCAATGTCTTAAACTAACATTTCCAGACAAGTCCTCATAGGGGTAGTGGTGCCCCTTGTTTTTCTTTGGCAACCACACACTAAACCAGTGAAACGCTCATTGGGCCACCAAACAATCTGTGTCGAGTTATTTATTGTGTGTCAAATTACACAAAACGCAAAGTCTAACTTATTAAACCTTATTCTGAATGCCTCTTGGGAATCTGTGTACCCAGTTCTCCTGCACCATGTTTGTGTTGCTCGCTCTTCCCCTGAAGGTCACTGGCATTCTTTAATCACTTCTGTACTTCCTTGTCTGTCCTTTGCCGTCAGCCTCCAGCAACTGCAAGGACAGGGTGGATCTCTAGCCATAAAGGAAATGCAAATCAAAACCACCCTAAGATTCCACCTCACCTGTTAGAATAGCCATCATTAAAAAACACCACTAATATGTTGTTGTGGGAATGCAAGCTGGTGCAACTACTCTGGAAAACAATATGGAGGCTTCTTAAAAATCTAAACATAGATCTGCCGTATGATCCAGCAATCCTACTCCTGGGGATGTACCTGAAGGAATGTGACTCACAATAGCCAAGTTATGGAAACAGCCAAGATGCCCCACCACTGACGAATGGATTTAAGAAAATGTGGTATCTATGCACAATGGAATTTTATGCAGCCATGAAGAAGAATGAAATCTTACCATTCGCAAGTAAATGGATGGTTCTGGAGAACATCATTCTGAGCGAGGTCAGCAGGCTCAGAAGACCAAAAATCGTATGTTCTCCCTCATACGCGGACTTTAAATCAAGGGCAAACACAGAAGTGTGACTGGACTTGGGTCACATGATAAGGGAGAGCACGCACCGGAGGTAAGAAACCCAAACATGATAGTATTTGATGTCCTCACTGCAGAGGAACTAATGCAGAAACCTTAGAGCGACAGAGGTCAATATGAGAAGGGGATCAGGATCTAGTGAAAAGTTCAGTTAGAGATGAATCAACTTATACTCTCTGTTCAACAAAATTGAAGCTAGGGGCAGAACAGATTCTGCCTGGAAGCGAGGCGGGTAGGGCAGAGAGGGAGGGGGCAGGCGTAGGAGGGAGAAATGGCCCAAACAATGTATACACATATGAATAAACAACAACAACAACAAGGACAGGGTGGTTGTTGAAAAGTTCATCTACTATCCCCAAAGCTCCCTTCAGAGGCTGACCATGGCATGACCTAAGTCTTCATTTGTTCGTTTTCTCTAAGCTAGCATGCACGTGTGCTTGGGCCAACCAGGGATGTTCTGTTCGCAGCCCTGTGCTCTTCAGAAGCCCAACACATCTACATGAGAGCCACTCCCAGCCCAACTCGGCCCCAGCTGACATGTCTTCAAGGTCAGAGGCTTTGCTAGAATAGCACGCGAGCCTCAGAATCCCGAGACCTGGATTCCAAACCCAGATCCACTGCTCTCTTCAATTAGTTGCTTCATCTCTGTAAAATGGGGACCTGCCCATCGTCTCGTCCTCATCACTTTTGCGATGCTTGTGAGAATTAGGTAGCACAAGTTAGCAAAAGAGCAGACATACTAAGTTCTTACTAGAAGTTAACTGTAGGTCGGAGCTCGGTGTAGTAACGGGAGTACATGGACATTTAGCCACACACACGGTCCTAGCTCTGTTTGCAGGAGGGATCTCCGGGGACAAGCAGGCTTAAGAAGTACAAGCAGAATTCTGAGCTTTAGTTTCCAGGTCTTAACAATTTCACCAATCCCACTTTGCCACATAATCTGCTCTTCTGGGGCAAGTTCCATCTGACCGCAGTCCCTCTTTCCAAGACAATGGCCTGTCTTTGAGGATGCTGGCAGTCAGTGGATGTGTGCGGTCACAGGGAAGAAAGCCACACGCTTTAAGTGAAAGTGCCGAGGATCTACCTGTTTGCACTGAGTCCATAGGTGTGTGCCCAGAAGAATTTCAGTGAAATTCCCTATGAATACATCACTTCAAAGCATCCATCTGGGAGGTTAGGGGCCCACTCTCTGTGTTGGTCTGGGATACCTCATATCCCTGCCAGGCCCAATGCAATGAACTACTTGGTTTATTTATTTTGGTGGTACTGGGGTTTGAACTCAGTGCCTCACACTTGCTAGACACATGCTCTTACCACTTGAGCCACTCCACCAGCCCTTTTTTTTTTTTTTTTATATGATGGGTTTTCTTGAAAGAGGGTCAAAACTATTTGCCCAGGCTGGCTTTGAACTTCAATCCTCCCGATCCTCCTGATATCTGCCTCCTGAGTAGCTAGGATTAAAGGTGTGAGCCACCAGCACCTGGCTCCATGTACTATTTTTATCTCACTACAATTTAAACATTTGAAAATCAATTAATTATTATTATATATTTTTCCTACCTCTGCCACTAAAGATTTCCCTCATTAAAACCAAACAAAATCCAGAAATAAAGACATTCAGATAAACGAATGTCTCGAGTTGCTAAAAACTTAGCTCTGGAGCCAAGCCTGTTTCTGAAAGTTTCAACTCACCCAATCAGACAACAGGCGGAGGAAGGGAGGCACTTATCAAGTTACACAGAGGACTCCCTCTGTCATTCTAGACCTTTGTTACTCAGTGACACAGAAGGGGCGCTCCAAGGCTCTGAAAGAGTTTTATTTTGCGGGATTCTTAACCCCAAAGACTTCAACTCGAGAGGAGCAGCAGAAGAGGAGGGAGGGTGACTGTGCTTGTTGAAGGAAGGACACTTTGTCAACTGACATCCAACCTGGAGAAGCCTCTGCTGACAGCAAGTTGCCTTTTCAGCCGGCGCCTGTCCCGTCCTCGTCTGTAATAAATGCAGTCAGGGGACAGTCCCTCCTGGACACTCACAGAGGTCTTGCTTTTGAACGGCACCCTCACAAAAGCCATTTCTCATCATGCCAAACCAACAGAAGAAAATCATTTTTGTGTGGCCGGAGTGTTGAGTTCGTGTGTGCCTCGGGTTGTGACAGCCCTGGGGACCCCATTGTGGGTTAAAGCCACCATCCTCTGCAAAACAGGGGCTCTGCTAGTCAACGCTTCAGGGAAGGAGCTGGACAAGTTCACTGGCGAGATGCAGTACGGGCTTTTCCACGGCGAGGGTGTAAGGCAGTGCGGGTTGGGAGACAGGCCTTTCCAGTTCTCGAGTAAGTAACAGTCACTTCTGAATTATTGAAGACTTTGGGGCTGCTCTTCCACTGTTGCAGGAATTATGTTAAGAGTCTTGCTCTAAAACTGGTGTGGGCCATTTGAAACACCTAGGACTCTGAGCAATTTTTTCCTAGATTTATTATTTGCTTGCGTTTAGTAACTTTTCATTCTTGTTATTTTTATTATAACATATAGTTAATTAGTTGTTATGTCATTAAGCTTTTTGAAAGCAATTAAGGTTCTTGAATATTTCTATCCTTGTAGGAAATTATGAGTCTTTTTAATAAAAAGGGATCTTGAGGAAAAGAGAAGCTGTAAGAATCACTCTTCACATCTTTTGTTCCTTACGAAAGGACCAGCATTTTGAGCCCCTTCCCGAGCCTACTTGCTTTTCCACCTTGACCATGACTTTGCCTCCTGTCCTGTCTCCCTGCCCACCTGTACCTGCTAGGACCTTTGCTGCTGATAAATATTCTGTTTTCATTTTTAACCAACTTGGAATCACGTGGCTATAGAAATACAAAAATGATCTGCTGGGAAAGAAATAGATGCCAATTTGGGGTAGAAAATTTGCAATTGATTGACCTTCACATTGGGTAGAGAATATAAGACAGATTTTCCTGTAGTGATTTTGTGAAATGGAAGTGTTTTCACAGTATTTATAACCTGTTTATCATAAGAAGAGAATTTTTTAAAAATTACCATGTGAATAGGAAACTCATTAAATGAAAATTAATAAGAAGTCATTTGTTATATCTCTCACAACACACATTCAGAAGTTATTATTATTTCAAAAGGGCTGGCTCGGAACAAGCTTATGAAGACACAGTCAGTAAATTGCTGCATAAATCACTCTTCGGAAAAGGAAGCTACCGATTGAGGCATTTAAAATGAATTATTATTTTGCCTGGGTTTCTTTGCTCCTCTAGTATAGGTAGAAGGTGAAATTAATTGAATTTATTATTAACATATGCGGTGTCTGATTAAATTTCAGTGCTAGTCTATTTATATTTCTGCAACATTCTTATATCTTCCGAGGAGTTGCTGGGCACCAACCTCCGACTCACAGGGCTTGCAAAGTGTTAGGGCTCCAGAAAATCCCCAAGAATTAGTCTCCAGCTTTTCAAGAAATTAACATCAACTGGATTTGATGAAGTGGATAGTGACTTCTTCACCGAATGGCTTTAGTTCATCAAGGTAATGGGGCTGTTAGAGTCACCCGGCTTCCCTCAGGGGGCAGAGAGAACAAAGCAGCATGTTATGTGATTTGCAACTGTATTAAAAATAAAAAAGGAAAGAAGACGGGATGAGCTAACCGTGACTCACGGTGGCTAAGGCAGGAGGAGGGAAGCTTCTCGCAGAATTGACACAGAAAAAGGAATGGACAGTGAGTACTCTGGAGCATTTGCATTTATTACAGAGAAGTGGAGATAAACCTCACTCACGCCATAGGACATGTTTCAGGACAGTCATGGATGGCCTGACACCTGAGGCTCTTCCCATAGCTTGCTCTTCTCATGGCTCAGTGAGTGACTTTGTGCCTGGGTCCCTAGGCTGTCTCTGGCTGGGATACAGCTGTGCTAATCAAGTGACCCTCTGTTTGCTCTCTGTGAGGACCTGCAGAGCTGGCGAGCTTAAACAGCACCTTCGTTGCCAGCCATCTCACAGGACTGTCTGGAGAAGTGGTGACAACCCTCTTTGTAGACTACCCAGACTAAAGTGCTACATGCGATATACTTGTTAAAGCCTCATTCGTGTTGGTGAGGCTGAGAGAATGATGCTAATGATAGAACTTTTCTTCTCCTAAGTGTAAAAGTATCGCTTTCAGTGGAACATCAGAGAATTTTGGGAAAACCTTAAAATAATACATCCAATGGACTCCCAAAGAGCACAATGTTCACTTAAATTTATACCTGAGAGCTAAAGGTGTAGCTCAAGCAGTAGAGTGCCTGCCTAGCAAGTGCAGAGCCCTGAGTTCAAACCCCAGTACCACCAATAAATAGAATTCTATAGAGAGAGATATAGATAGATAGATAGATGATAGATGGACAGATAGATGATGGGTGGATGGGTGGGTAGGTAGATGATAAATGGATAGACAGATAATAGATGGATAGATAGATGATAATAGATAGATAGATGGATAGATAGATAGATAGATAGATAGATGGATAGATGGATAGATAGATAGACACACATCCCTGTTGATGTTAAAACTTCCTATCTGACATGCCTCAGGGATATGTTGTACTCTCCCAGTTTATGCCACCATTGGAATATAGCTTCATGGTTCTTCCCACTGGAAAAGAATTCTCCCGTCAATGTTTCATCAAGGTAGCAAGAAGTAGGAGAGCCCTCTGACATTCTTCCTGACAGAAAAGCATAACCTCTGAATATAAAAGAGCAAGAGACCCAAAGCTCAACTCAATGATAGCTTCCTTTGAGCAAACCCAGGGGCCTGCAGGGACCTCAGGACGATTATGGTTTCTGCCAGAACCCAACTATGGTTACAGCACAATAATTTCCCGGAGTGCCCCCTGCTTCGTTGTTCCTTTAGAAAGCTGTTAAGCCACATTCAGATTTGTAGAAACTCGCAGGAGGCATGGGAATGGTAACCTACCAAAGTCTCAGTCACTTGTGGCCAGAGTTCTTTGTGTTGTCATGTGTCCATCAGTTGATGTGAATTTATACTTCAATTCTACTGGATTGCCAAACTCTATTGTGCTTACTCCAGATTTTCACTTGTACAAACATTAGCCAACAGAAATATAATGGCAAGCTACAAATGCAAGCCATATATGTTGCTTAAAATGTTTAAAATGGGTTGGTGGATTGGCTCAAGTGGTAGAGTACCTGCCTAGTGAGCATGAGGCCCTGAGTTCAAACCCCAATACTGCCAAAAATAAATAAATAAAATAAAAAAAGTAAAATGTTTAAAATGTAGCCATGTTAGAAAAAAGCAAAGACAAACAGAAGAAATTAACTTGATACATTTTCTTTAACTCAAGATATCCAGAATGCTGTTCTTTAATCACTATAAAAAGCTGATATTTGACATTCCTTTGTTTTTCTTGGTGCTAAGTCTTTAAAATTCAGTTTATATTTTATACAGCACCCCCTGCATCATCCAAGTGCTCACTCTAGTGGTACTGTATCATCTAGTGGTATGGGATCTAGTGGAACAGGAGCCAGTGGTACTGTGTGTAGTGGTACCGGATCTAGTGGCACTGTTTTGGGCATTGCAGATTTAGTATTGTATTTGTATTACTCTGAATACATGGGCCATTGGCAGTGTCCATATTGTGAATGACCTCTTGCTTGGCTCTGCTGTGTGATCTCTGAGTGTGATTTTTACATGCGGTGTGTGTGTGTCGCTTTAAAAACCTATCTGTTTGGTATAACCGAGAATGAAGAATGGGCCAGAGGAACAGTTCAGCAAGTAGTCATCTTTGGTCCCCTTACTGTCCCCACTGACCACTCTGTCTCTGTTAATTATAACCCGGCTGTGCCCTGCTAGCACAGGGCACAGTTATGCTGGGAACACTTCTGCCTCATTTACACTGGCCCATCCCCGTCCATGTCCGGGTCAGTGGTTCACTTTCTACAGGTCACCGATGCTCACACCCAGCCCACAATTCCATTCATTATCCTGAAGGAATGTTTTCCTTTCGAGCAGCACAACTGGTGGGTTTAATTTTTCTTGATATGTCACCTGTAAAATTTAATGATGACATCTAAACTCTAAATATAGCCATCAAGACAGAAACTGCCAGTTTTGAGCCCGGAGTGTGTGGGTCGGTTTGTTTTGGTGGTTTGAAACGCTGCAGAACGCCATCAAAACACGATGCCCGAGAATCAGATGGTATCGATCAGCCTAGATACTCTGAGCTGCTCGTTGCCAAAACAGTTCAATGAGCTGGGGAAACATATGGAATCATTTCTCTGAAATGTGAAAAGCAAACTTAACCAATTATGTAGCCCAGCTTGCAACTTTAGTCAGATTTTGAAAACGTGTCAATTTGGACCTTATGATTTAAGATTTGTAAAAAGCCGAATGAAGATCTAACTCACTTTGGATTTCAGAAATACCATCTCTCCTTACCAAATGAGGCAGAGAGGATTTTAAACTACTTCTGTGAGTGGGTGCGTGGCTTCTTGGGCATATCGTGGGGTGGGATACTTGGGCTTAGGGTCTCAGTGACCACTACTGAGAGTTGAGTCTCTATTTCCAGGTTCTTATCTCCTGCTGACCTGACCTGCCCATGGAGTCCGCTTGTCACCATCCTGCACGTGTGGCATCTCTCCTGTTGCCTTGTCCACAGAACAGCTTCAAAGAGCTTTAAGGTCCCTCCTTCTGACATGACACCCTGCCTGTGCCTTCCCTTCCTTACTGGGAGGCCTGTGTGGAAACAGGCATGGTATGGGGAAACCATCCCACCATCCCACCATCCCACCCAGTAAGCATGGGCCTCCCGCCTTTTGGTGGGAGCCTTATTGTCTCATTCACCCGCAGAAACAGTCCAGGAAGCAGAGGTTTTGTTTCTGTTGAAACAGAAGCACTTTTTGGAACAGCTGTGTGAGAAGGAAAACCTTTCGACTTCTCTCAGCCGAGCAGCCTTCTGTCCACGTAGACCTTCCTTGACATTCACGCTCCTTTCAAAGCACCTATTTAGAACTATTTGAGAATGTGTATTTCTTCTCTGCACAGACATCCTAATCCCTGAGAAGACAGGGGCTGTGCACAACTCATCCTGGTCCTCCCTCAAACCAGGCCCAAAGAGATAATTATGAAAGGCTTAGTCAGCTGACACTGCTAGGAATGAGCAGCCTAGATCTGAGGAGCATCTGTGCTTGCTGTGATGAACAAATCTCACTTCATCCATTCTAGTTCTTGCATCCACAGAAGGGAGGAGAAACTGGGCGATTTTAAAACACGTCTTCCAGTTCTAATGCTTTATGATCTACAAAACGAGTGACTGGCTGTTCTAGACGAGGT